GCCTCGGGCCATTTCGGCGCACCCCTCGCGAGGATCGTGGCCCCATAGGGAGCTCCACCGAAGGCCCAAGTGGCAGGTTTCGCGTGGCGGCCTCGGGCCATTTCGGCGCACCCCTCACGAGGATCGTGGCCCCATAGTTGTGCTGCTTCAGCAACCGCGCCTGGGCGTCGTGCTCCGCCTGGTAGGCGTGCAGCGCCACCTCCTCCCTCATGGCTCTCAGAGCCCTCTCCTGCTTCTGCTCCTCGGTCAGAGGGGCGCCGTCGTCGTCGTCGTCGGCGCCCGCGAAGACGGCCACGAACGCGTCCCTGAGCATGCCGGGCTCTGGCGGGAAGCCGCGGCCACATGGGGAACGCGGGCGAAGATGGCATTCATAGTTGCGGCATTCACAACTGCATGTGGTTGGGTCCTTCGCCAAGCTAATTTCTTTTTCCCAACCATCCTTTGGTGTTGGGTCCTCGTTTTGAAGAGACAGTGCTCCGCGTCTCCGTCCTTTCCTTCCTCTCCTCCCTCCCCCCCGCACCGCACCCATGCCGGCAGACCCCTCACACGTTTCGTGGCCCCATGGGGAGCCCCACCGAAGGCCCCAGTGGGAAAGATCGCATGGCGGCCTCGGGCCATTTCGGCACACCCCTCACGAGGGTCGCGGCCCCATAAAGAGCTCCACTGAAGGCCCCAGTCGGAGGGTTCGCATGGCGGCCTCGGGCCAGTTCTGCGCACCCCTCACGAGGGTCGCGGCCCCACAAGGAGCTCCACCGAAGGCCCCACTGGGAAAGTTCGCATGGCGGCCTCGGGCCATTTCGGCGCACCCTTCACGAGGACCGTGGCCCCATAGGGAGCTCCACCTAAGGCCCCAGGGGGGAAGTTCGCATGGCGGCCTCGGGCCAGTTCGGCGCACCCCTCATACGCTTCGTGGCCCCACAAGGAGATCCACCAAATGCCCCACTGGGAAAGTTCGCATGGCGGCCTCGGGCCATTTCGGCGCACCCCTCACGAGGATCGTGGCCCCATAGGGAGCTCCACCGAAGGCCCCAGTGGCAGGGTTCGCGTGGCGGCCTCGGGCCAGTTCGGTGCACCCCTCACGAGGTGGCCCCATAGGGAGCCCCACCAAAGGCCCCAGATGGAAATTTCGCATGGCGGCCTCGGGCCAGTTCGGCGCACCCCTCACGAGGATCGTGGCCCCATGGGGATCCCACCGAAGGCCCCACTGGGAAAGTTCGCATGACGGCCTCGGGCCATTTCGGTACACCCCTTACAAGGATCGTGGACCCATAGGGCGCCCCACCGAAGGGCCCGCCTTCCCGACCCGCCCTTTAGGGTCTACCCGCCCGATCTGCCCGTCTGGTTCTGCCACGTGTTTTCTGTTCCCACCCCCTCTCCTGCTACTGTCTCTCGTGTTCCATCCTCCTCCCTCCCCATTTTCCCTTCATTCCATCCGTCCTGTCTTCCACTGCCTTCAGGGCTGCACGAAGTACATGTTGCAAGTAAGACAAATAAATGCACCCAAGGGGGTACGATCGAAGACGAAGAGGGCGGGTATCGAGGGTTTGGGATAAGTTGAATGACCGGCGAGCAGATAAGCGCGAACAATATTAACATGACATTGTTGTTATCGATGCTGTTGTTGTTGCTGCTCTGAGCTGGAAGCCACGGCTTTGGGCCGGGCTGCTCTCTGAATATTCGGCTTCTGGCTGGACTACCCTCTGGGCACCCGGAACACCAGCTTCGGTTCTAGGCTGTGCCTGCAGAGACTGGGCGTTGGGTGGAGTGACGCGAGGACGAGAGACATACACACACATATATATACTAGAACCACGCGCGCGCTTCGCGCGCGCTTAGGTTCTGTCGAGTCACAGACCCAGGAATCGTTGTGAGAAGAAATTGGTGACGCGAAGCGTCGTGGGGGCGTCCTTGGACGTCTGGGGTCTCCTGGGGCCTCTTGAGGGGCCTCCTGGGGGCCTCCTGGCGGCCTCTTGGGGCGGAAGGCTCGAGCTTGCGGTTCGTGGTCCCCCTCTGGGCCCCCTCTTGGGCCCGTCTTGGGGCCCTCTTGGGCCATCTTGGGCGCCTCTTGGGCCGTCTTGGGGCCCTCTTGGGCTGTCCTGGGGCCCTCTTGGAAGCTTCTTGGGCCGTCTTGGGGCGGTCTTGGGCGCCTCTTGGGCCGCCCTGTAACGTCGGAAAGCCCAAAAGACAACTTTGTTGAACATGCACGTTTTACGAAGGGATAGGCCAACTTTTGCGTCTGGGGGCCCTCTTGGGACGCATGTTGGAGGCTTCTTGGGGCGTCTTGGGGGCGTCCTTGGACGTCTGGGGTTTCCTGGGGCCTCTTGAGGGGCCTCCTGGGGGCCTCCTGGCGGCCTCTTGGGGTGGAAGGCTCGAGCTTGCGGTTCGTGGTCCCCCTCTGGGTCCCCTCTTGGGCCCGTCTTGGGGCCCTCTTGGGCCATCTTGGGCGCCTCTTGGGCCGTCTTGGGGCCCTCTTGGGCTGTCCTGGGGCCCTCTTGGAAGCTTCTTGGGCCGTTTTGGGGCGGTCTTGGGCGCCTCTTGGGCCGTCCTGTAACGTCGGAAAGCCCAAAAGACAACTTTGTTGAAAATGTACGTTTTACGAAGGGAATGGGCCAATTTTTGCGTCTAGGGGCCCTCTTGGGACGCATGTTGGAGGCTTCTTGGGGCCTCTTGGGGGCGTCCTTGGACGTCTGGGGTCTCCTGGGGCCTCTTGAGGGGCCTCCTGGGGGCCTCCTGGCGGCCTCTTGGGGCGGAAGGCTCGAGCTTGCGGTTCGTGGTCCCCCTCTGGGCCCCCTCTTGGGCCCGTCTTGGGGCCCTCTTGGGCCATCTTGGGCGCCTCTTGGGCCGTCTTGGGGCCCTCTTGGGCTGTCCTGGGGCCCTCTTGGAAGCTTCTTGGGCCGTCTTGGGGCGGTCTTGGGCGCCTCTTGGGCCGTCCTGTAACGTCGGAAAGCCCAAAAGACAACTTTGTTGAACATGTACGTTTTACGAAGGGAATGGGCCAACTTTTGCGTCTAGGGGCCCTCTTGGGACGCATGTTGGAGGCTTCTTGGGGCCTCTTGGGGGCGTCCTTGGACGTCTGGGGTCTCCTGGGGCCTCTTGAGGGGCCTCCTGGGGGCCTCCTGGCGGCCTCTTGGGGCGGAAGGCTCGAGCTTGCGGTTCGTGGTCACCCTCTGGGCCCCCTCTCGGGCCCGTCTTGGGGCCCTCTTGGGCCATCTTGGGCGCCTCTTGGGCCGTCTTGGGGCCCTCTTGGGCTGTCCTGGGGGTTTCTTGGGCCGTCTTGGGGCGGTCTTGGGCGCCTCGTGGGCCGTCCTGTAACGTCAGAAAGCCCAAAAAGCAACTTTGTTGAAAAATGCACGTTTTACGAAGGGAATGGGCCAATTTTTGCGTCGAGGGGCCCTCTTGGGACGCATGTTGGAGGCTTCTTGGGGCCTCTTGGGGGCGTCCTTGGACGTCTGGAGGCCATCTTCAGCATCTCGGAGCCCTCTTGGAGGCCTCTTGGAAGTTTCTTGGGCCGTCTTGGGCGCTCCTGGGGCCGTCTTGTCTGACCGGGGAGGCCTCCGGCAAGCCCCGACGAGCCTCCGGGCCCCCCGGGGTGCACATTTGTGGTCGGGGTCCCGGCCCCGGGCCCCCGGACCCGGTGCGCCGTTATATGTATATATATATATATAATATATATATAATATATATTATATATATATATACACACACTGTATATACACAGTTGGAAAGAGAGAGGGAGAGAGAGAGAGAGAGAGAGAGAGAGAGAACGAGAGAGAAATAGAGAGATAAGAGACAAGAGAGAGAAACATAAATTAGCCTGGCGAAAGACCCAACCATAAGCAATCGTTAATACCGCAATTGTGGGCATCATCTTCGGTGGAGCTCCCTATGGGGCCACGAACCGTGTGAGGGGTGCGCCAAAATGGGGCGGGGCCGCCATGCGGACCCTGCCACTGGGGCCTTCGGTGGAGCTCCCTATGGGGCCACGAACCGTGTGAGGGGTGCGCCAAAATGGGGCGGGGCCGCCATGCGGACCCTGCCACTGGGGCCTTCGGTGGAGCTCCCTATGGGGCCACGAACCGTGTGAGGGGTGCGCCAAAATGCGGGGCCGCCATGCGGACCCTGCCACTGGGGCCTTCGGTGGAGCTCCCTATGGGGCCACGAACCGTGTGAGGGGTGCGCCAAAATGCGGGGCCGCCATGCGGACCCTGCCACTGGGGCCTTCGGTGGAGCTCCCTATGGGGCCACGAACCGTGTGAGGGGTGCGCCAAAATGCGGGGCCGCCATGCGGACCCTGCCACTGGGGCCTTCGGTGGAGCTCCCTATGGGGCCACGAACCGTGTGAGGGGTGCGCCCCAATGCGGGGCCGCCATGCGGACCCTGCCACTGGGGCCTTCGGTGGAGCTCCCTATGGGGCCACGAACCGTGTGAGGGGCGGGCCAAAATGCGGGGCCGCCATGCGGACCCTGCCACTGGGGCCTTCGGTGGAGCTCCCTATGGGGCCACGAACCGTGTGAGGGGTGCGCCAAAATGCGGGGCCGCCATGCGGACCCTGTCACTGGGGCCTTCGGTGGAGCTCCCTATGGGGCCACGAACCGTGTGAGGGGTGCGCCAAAATGCGGGGCCGCCATGCGGACCCTGCCACTGGGGCCTTCGGTGGAGCTCCCTATGGGGCCACGAACCGTGTGAGGGGTGCGCCAAAATGCGGGGCCGCCATGCGGACCCTGCCACTGGGGCCTTCGGTGGAGCTCCCTATGGGGCCACGGACCGCGTGAGGGATGTGCCGAAACAGAAACATGCGGAGGGCAGAGGCAAGGGGGAGGGGGCAGCGGGAGGAAGGAGGAGGAACGCGGGGCACCGTCTCTTCAAAACGAGGACCCAACACCACAGGATGGTTGGGAAAAACAAAGACAGAGTGAGAGAAAGAGAGCGAGAGAGCCAATCATTCCGTCGCAAACGAACCCGAAAACAAGATTCGGAACATAATCCGTTTTTGGACATGCCTGGTCCAATGGACGTTGCAGCCCAACGGCAAATTAAACTCTGCCCCGCCCATCCGTGCGTTGCACAGACGCTGGACTCCGCCATGCAGGCACGCCCCTTCCCGTCGAGGCGCGGCCTGTAGGAGAGAAGATCTACGGCAACAGGAGGGTTCAAAAAATCGGAGAACTGCTGCGCACGGTACACCCCTGGCTGGAATCCGTGTACTGCTGCATGCCGGCAGAGCGTGCCCCTAGCTGCGCCGCCACACAAAATCCTGGCAGCCTGTGCGGCCTCTTCCCAAGAACCCCGCGGCAGCCACAACGGCTAACGACCCAACAGGCTGCGCACGAGAACATGCAGATCTCGAGGGCGGGCCGGAAACGCGGCCCAATCGCATCCGCTTTGGACGGCGTTGTCCAAAAAGAGCGCGGGCGTTCCGAGCTCCCTGCGTCGACGCGTACCCCAGCTCCCTCGTGGACAGCCTGGGAATCAACCGCTTCAGGCACTGCTGGCGCGCGCAGGAGGGTGGCGTGACGGGGACAGTCATCTAAGAAGGCTGGGGGGGCTTCTACAACTGCGGGTGGCTTCTCAAAAGCACTCCCGGCTTCCAAGGAGCTCGTCGCAGCATCCAAGCGCCTCTAAGACGGCCGCCCATGTCCTCTAAGAAGCCCACTGCCTTCTTAGAGGGCCGTCCCCCTCGCGCCGCGCCCTTGCGCGCCCTGCTGAAGGCAATAACGCTTTCCCTCCTCCCCGGACCCACCCTGCTAAGTTTTGAGCTCGCCACTCGAGGATCGAGGAGGGGGGATGTTGGACGTGCTGGGGAAAATATTGAACGCCTTTGGATCGTTTCGGGCCTCCAGGACCTCCGGGGACCTCACGGGAACGTCCAAGGATCAGGGTCTGAGGCGAACGCAAACCTTACCAATCCGCCTCCCAACCCCCTCATTCCCCTCCTCCTCCGTCCCAATCTCTAATATATAATGTTAGCCACCGTGAGCCACAAACAATGGTTCCTTACCATCTGTGCGGTGCAATCTAGGTGGTGCAATCAGTGCGGCGCGCAGCGATCAGGCAATGCAAAGCAATGCAACGGAATGCAACATCATGCAACGCAATGCGACGCAATGGAGAGTAATGCAACACAATGCAAAGCAATATAGAGCAATGCGCGGCAATGCAAAGCAATGCGCAGTAATGTACTGCGATGCAAAATAAAACAGTGCAGAGCAATGCAACTACATGCAAAACAATGCACACCAATGCGACTTCATGCAACGTGCAGCAATGCGCAGCAGTGCAGAACACTGCAACGCAATGCAACGCGATGTAAAGCAATGCAAAGCAATGCAAAGTAAAGCCTTGCAAATGAGTGCAAGTCAGCGCACAGCAATGCAAGTTAGTGCAATGCAAAGCAATCCAGAGCAATGCAACAAGCAATGCAAACCAGTGCAATACGAAGCAGTACGGAGCAATACGAAGCAGTGCAAAGCGGGCGGCGACGAGGCCGACGAGGCGGCGACGAGGCGGCCACATGGCGGCCACAGAGCGGCCCGCAGGCCCGGGGGGACGGGCGGCGACGGGGCGGCGACGAGGCGGCCACGTGGCGGCCAGAGCGGCCCGCAGGCCCAGGCGACGGGCGGCGACGAGGCGGCGACGGCGGAAGCATGGCGGCCAGAGAGGCCCACGGGCCAGGCTCCTCGGAGGACAAAGGCGAAGCCCAAAGTACACGCACCGTTCGGGAGACACAGCTCCTCCCTGCCGCGCCCCCCCCGACGTGTCGGCAGGGCGGGCCAGGCGCCTCGCCCGAGACCTGCATGCCATGAGTGGTCCTGCGACTAGCTTGAAGTTTGCAGCGGCTTCACGGGTGGAGGCCCCGTTTTCAAACTGTGGCTCTCGCTTCAGCGCCGCGCACACTCGTCTTGAACATCTGCAACCTGTGCACAGGTGGATTTCAAACTGCGGCTTTCGCCTCGGCGCCGAAGAACATTCGCCTCGAAAGTTTGCAGCAGCTTCACGGATGGAGGGTGCTTCCTTTTGAAAATGCGGCTCTAGCCTCAGCGCAGCGCACATGTGCCTAAACGTTTGCAGTACTTTTGACGATTCGTATGGTCAAAATCCAAGGACGTGCGCTCTGGCACGATTGAGGACTGTCAGGACGCAACAATTACACTAGTTCTCGCGGTAATGCACTCTCAAGTCTGGTGTCCTGGCACGATTTAAAAGTGTCAGCGCACCACATTCACGCTGATCCGCGGCGTTGAAGTCCCGGGACTGGTGTTCTGGCACAACTAAGGATTCTCAGACGGCTGCCTTCTGATGGACCGCTTCCCGCAATGAGAGGCAATTCGTTTAGGGGCCGATGGCGAGGGAACTTGGAGGGAGTCTTAGTGCAACATCATTGGTGAGGTTTACACTGCTCCTCCTCCTCCTCATTCTCCTTCTCCTCCCTTCCCTTTGCCCGCACCCGCTGATGGGGAGGACGAGGAGGTGCTTCTCTTGATTGGTACTGTTTGATCGGGCGCTGACGCGTTCACGGCGCCTCTTCGAAGCTGTTGGCAAACTTTGACACTGTACCCTCCTGGAGAGCTCAACTGACTGAACCACTTTTGGTCCGCGACCGAATGACTGACCTCTCTCCCTTTTCCACACCCGCCCTGGACAGATGAGTCCTTATTTCTTGTCCTCCCTGATCGAGCCCAGGCGGACAAGCGCGGGGAAAGAACTCCAGATCGACAACGCAAGTCTGATGGCAAGCGTGATATCCCTGAACTTACCTCTGGACGGCCGACGGCCAAGCCCATTGGACTGCAAAAACCTTCCAACCGCCCCCCCTGGCCCATCCCTCTCCCCACAAAGAACCCCCCCTCCTCGGAACCGGCCCTTCCCTACTCATCAACAAGCCCCCACAAACCCACTGGGTGCCATCACAACCTGCTAGCACCCAGGCCCTTCGACATCCCGCGCAAGTTTCAGCTAGAAAGGAAGAAGATGAGGATGACGAGGAGGTGAAGGAGAAGCATCATCAACCCAATATTCGGAGGCTGCCTAAAGGGGGTAGGGAGAAGGAGCAAACCATCTCAGAAGGTGGCGGGGCTTCTCAGACGCCCTCTGGACTTCTGAAAAGTTTTCTGTGTCTTCGGGAAAGGCTTCTACCACTTCTCAGAAGGCCCGAGGACCTCCGAGCCCTCCGAAAAAGGCCTGTCCATTCTCACTTCCCCCCGGGCGTGCCGCCGAAATGTGTGTAGGCGGCGCTGCAGTGTATCCCCCCGTCCCAAGTCCACTTTTCATCTGCCTCTGCAGGCGTATTCTTGCATCGCGCGAAGCGCACCTCTTGGACTTCGAATGCCCCATGGGCCCCTGGTTTCGTGCGGGAGCTAGAAAGAATGCGACCGGGCCGAGTCGCAAACTGAAAGGGAGTGCTGAGCGGCAACCCCGCCGTGACGGGGCACCGCCGTCCGTCCGTGACAGCTGGAGCCTGGAACCCTTCCTGCTCCTCCGTCCTTCCTGCCCTCTCTTCCTGCTTGTCGTGCTCCCTGCCTGCTCCCCGCCTGCCCCCCCCCCCCCCCTCCACACCCTCGTGGTCACACTCACACGAAAAAATTTGCGCGGGCACAGTGGCCGAGCGCTGCATGCGCGGCGTGGGCGCGCACTGGACGAACGAGCCGCTTCCCAGGAGGGAGGAGGGAGGAGGCAGGAGGACGAGGAAGAGTAGGGGGATGGCGGAGGCGTGTGAGGAGGGAGGGGGGAAGTAGATGGGGGAAATACGAGGGGAGAGGATGATGCCGAGGAGGAGGAGGATGACACTGAACTGGAGAAAGGAGGACGACGAAGATGGGACAACCATGACGACTCATAATGGCGAGGGTGCGGATGATGAGTAGGTCGAAGGCCAGGGGTAATCGTAGTAGTAGTAGTAGTAGTAGTAGTAGTAGTAGTAGTCGTAGTAGTAGTAATAGTAGTAGTATTAGTAGTCGTAGTAGTAGTCGTAGTAGTAGTAGTAGTAGTAGTAGTAGTAGTAGTAATAGTAGAAGAAGAAACAAGTAGACGTAAGAGTAGTAGTCGTAGTAGAAACATAGAATAGTAGCAGTAGTAGTAGTAGTAGTAGTAGTAGTAGTAGTAGTAGTAGTAGTAGTAGTAGTAGTATTTGTCGTAGTAGTAGTAGTAGTACTGGTAGTAGTACTGGTAGTAGTAGTAGTAGTAGTAGTAGTAGTAGTAGTAGTAGTAGTAGTAGTAGTAGTAGTAGTCGTAGTAGTAGTAGTAGTAGTAGTAGTGGTAGTAGTAACAGTAGTAGAGGTAGTAATAGTTGTAGTAGTAGCCATGGTAGTAGTCGTAGTAGTAGTAGTAGTAGTAGTAGTAGTAGTAGTATTAGTAGTAGTAGTAGTCGTAGTAGTAGTAGTAGTAGTAGTAGTAGTAGAGTAGTAGTAGTAGTAGTAGTAGTGTAGTAGTATTGCAGTAGTAGTAGTAGTAGTATAGTAGTAGTAGTAGTAGTAGTAGTATAGTAGTAGTAGTAGGTAGTAGTAGTAGTAGTAGTAGGTAGTAGTAGTAGTAGTAGTAGTAGTAGTCGTAGTAGTAGTAGTAGTAGTAGTAGTAGTAGTAGTAGTAGTAGTAGTAGTAGTAGGTAATAGTTGTAGTAGTAGCATGGTAGTAGTCGTAGTAGTAGTAGTCGTAGTAGTAGTAGTAGTAGTAGTAGTAGTAGTAGTAGTAGTGGTAGTAGGTAGTGGTAGCAGTTCTAAGTATTAGCAGTAGTAGTAGTAGTAGTAGTAGTAGTAGTAGTAGTGGTAGTAGTAGTAGTAGTAGTAGTAGTAGTAGTAGTAGTCGTAGTAGTAGTAGTAGTAGTAGTAGTAGTAGTAACAACAGTCGCTACGGAGTAACAAGTTAGGTACATCGTAGTAGTGGTAGTAGTCGTAACCGTGCTAGTAGTAGTTGTAGTAGTACCAGTAGTAGCAGTAGCAACAGTAGTACTAGTGTTCGTGGAAGTAGTAATCATAATAGTAGTGGTAATGTGGTACTAGCCGCACTACTAGAAGCCGTACGGGAGTAGTAGTAGTAGAAGTCGTGGTCGTAGTGGCCGTAGTAGTAGTAGTAGTAGTA